GCTGCGTCCCCCCCCAGCAGACCAGGGAGACGCGGAGCAGCTTTTCTCACCCCGGAGAACGCGGGCGGCGGGACCATGGCGCATCTGGGCGTCCCGCCACTCCCGTCCTCTGGAGCGAGAAAAGCCCTGTTCGTAACTGCGGATCCGACATAAGTCGGATCCGCATAACTCGGGGACTGCCTGTATATTTAAATTGCAATGACTTTTACTATGGTAAAGACAGATTAGAACTGTGCTATGTAAAAGTTAAAGTGGCGAGGAGTCCTGTGGCACCTTATAGACTAACCGAAGTGTTGGAGCATAAGCTTTCATGGGCAAAGACCCGCTTCGTCAGATGCATGTACTACATGCTCCTCGCCACTTTTGCAGATTCAGACTAACATGGCTGCTCCTCTGATACGTAAAAGTTAAAGGAAATCTAAGAATTTTCACTTGTGATCAATACAGCAGTTGCAGATCTGATTTGAATCTATGTTGTAATTCTCAATAAAAGTGTTGCCAGTGTCCAAGATTAGTGGAAACTGACAGTCAAAATGAACATTGTGGAATTGAAGGATTTTTTTTTTAAATCTTTCATTGCATATGCAGAATTTCCAAGAAAAATCCTCCTACAATATCTTTCTAATTTACTTGCCCTTTTATTATTTGTTCCAGTATTAAGAAAATATCAGTCTCCATTTCAGATCGAGGTGGTCTCTCATCTTCCACTGTGACCGAGGATAAGGATGGCTTCTCTGACTTCTACAGTCACAATATGATTCTTTTATGAGTTTAACATTGTAAATCATTGCTCTTTTGATTAGCAGAAAAATTGTGGTAAATGATGGTAACTGAGCTACTACTGGTAATCTTGTATTTTTTGCATAGCTTTAGAAGATGTTTGATTTGAAATTGATCTTTCAAAACATATATTGTTTGAAAAATCAGTGCAGTATATGTAAAAGAAGGAACCAGTCACTGAAGGAAATGCCATGTATAGAATAACTGTTTTTTATGTTACAAGGAAATACACGTCAGTTTCCCTCTGTAGCAGAGCACGTAAATGTTCAGACATTTTAGAATTGTGGTGTTCTGCAGAAATTGGACCAAACACTCTCTCTGAGAAACCCATGGTCTTTGTTTCAAGGAGGATATAATTATTTCACCACTGGAAGTCATCTGAAAGTCACAACATAGATTTTCACTGTAATCTGTAATTTTCACTGGTTTTTTTTGTTTTTTTTTTTTTGTTTTTTTGGTGATGTATCAAATGGATCCATTATGAAGAGTGGTGTGATAAATACAGCTAGAACCTTCACTTTAAAAACTGATGTTTTTTAAACACATTCTGAGTTCTGTGATGCCCAAAGATAACAAGTGATATCAAGTTCTGTGATGCCCAAAGATTACTCACCCGTAATTTAAACCAACAAATGACTAAATCTTGTTCCACTGTATTTTTATACTGTAAAATACTTAAATATAATTTTATCTCCAAACAGTATGGCTGAGAAATACATCTTGAGTAGTTGGACAGTGTAGTGAACACGAAGTGTGTAGCCTTTTAAGTGGAATATGTCTTGGTTGAAGGTAGGGGTGTTAGCATGTAGTCGATTACATGATAGAGGCAACAGTGTGGGAGCTCAAGTGGGGGAGGGGGGGAAGGCAGGCAGAAGCCAGTATAAGCGGAAAGTAACTTTCAAATTGGGTCTCCACATACATCGGCTCCCTCCAAGCCACCTGCCCCTTGCGCTGCTGCATCTTTATCAAAGGCGGGTAGGCAGGCGGGAGCTGGCTATTAAGCACCAGCTCCATCTTCTCCCTCCTCGCATGTAGACATGTAACTGCTAAAATTTCCAGTGGTTACGCACTTAAATAGGATAGTTAACATCCCTACTAGATGGATCTGGAAAATGCTGAGAATAATGTATGAAGCTGGTTGTAATACAGAGATGCTCCTGCCCAAATTATTAAGCCTGAGGCTTTTCCTCCATGTAAAAGACTATGCCTCTGTCTTCACGGCCAAAAAAGGTGCTTTTTTAAACATAGTTATTACTTTTATACAAAATAGTTTCTACTTAAATGTAAAATAAAATTGGAGACTGGGGTTTAAAAAAAAATCTGCCTATGCCCAAAGTAACTGGGGTATAGTGTTGACTTTGACTAGTTACATCAGGGTAAAATCTACAGGTGCTGTTTCGGCTAGGTCTTTGTCAAGATGACTTTGTCAAGATAACAATCTCTGTTAAAATCTTAAAACAAGCCCCCACAATGCACCTCCCCTTCTCATTTTTCAGTCAAGACAAAGCTGATGTAGGATAGGACCCATCCCCAAGCACGTGACCGTGTTTTGTACTCGCGTATGAAATGGATAAACTGCATTCTAGAAACCCACAACCATACTTTAAAACCGGGCTACTCAACTTTGGAACCCCCAGGGCCACAATGATACTCAAAGCACATGCCGAGGACCGCAACTTAAGTGTGGTTGCATATACATGCAAATATTAAAGGGGACTGTTAGCCCCTTACTAAAACTCAGTGGGAGTTTTTGGTTGGCCAGCTCCCAGTACCAAAAGGGGAAGGGTCCATGAGAAATCAGGGCCCTGAGACTGACAGACCCCGGGGACAATGGAAAGAAGCCAACACTCCAGCTCAGCCTGATTGGTCTGTCCAATCTGTCAATGAGGAATTTAGGAGGCCAGGTCCTGTCCTCTGTGTGAGCGGGGATTTTCTGGGTCTCTGAGAAAAGGAAAGGGAGCTGAGAAGAGCAGCAAGAAGAGCAAGCTGTGTGGAGAGACAGACCTGCAGTGTCCGAGCCAGAGCCCTATACAGCCCATAGAGCGCAGACCCTCTGCTAAGAAGTAGACCTGCTGTGTCAGAGCCAGACATGCCCAGCCCAGCCCAAGGAGTGCAAGCTGTGCTGAGGGGCAAACCTGCAGTGACAAAGCCCCACACACAGCCCAAGGAACGCAGATGCTGTGGTAAGAAGCAGACCTGCAGTGACCTGAGAGCCAAAGGGGTCAGAGAAGCAACACAAGGAACTGGAGGCTGGCAAAGCAGCACAGTCTGCGGCTGGGGGTGGTGAGCAGCTGGGACCAGCAAAGTGGGGGAAGAGGCTCTGGGCAGGGAGATACCCCCAGCCAAGAGGCCTTGCAGGCCAGATTTGGAGAGGGATTGTAACTCCAACTGGGAGAGGGGTCCTGCCACCTAGAGCCTGAGGCGGTGTGGTCACTGCCAGAGCAAGTGTGTGCAACCTGCAGCCACCCCCCTCCCTCCCTGCAGCACAGCCAGGGCCTGAGAGAGAGCCCTGGGACCTATAAGGAACAGATTGTGAACTGTCCTTACACTCTGCAAACTGCTGTTTGTGGTGTCCCCATGCTACAGAGCAGGACTGTGTGTTCTCATTTAACCTTCCTCATTTTTTCCCTATTCTTTTCTTTTTAATCAGTTGCTGTTTAATAAATTGTATTTGCTTTGAACTGTATGTAATGATCTTTGGGTCAAGAAAGCATCCCGTGTGTAGAAAGCACCCTGAGTGGGGACACCCTGGCCCCTACCCCAAGTGACTACAAGGTCGGGGATTGAGCCCCAGAAATCCTGGGTCCAGCCATGTTGGGATTTCCAAGACTCTGCTACTTAGGAGAGTGGAAGGGGAGCCCTCGGGTCAGGGAGGCCTTTGGGTAAAAAATGGGAGCATGGACTCATCCTTTCACTGGTCCATTTCACCGGGGTAGTATAGAAGCCAGGAAAGTTCCCCACAATAGCGGGACCATTCCCCTGCTTACATACGTACACACACATATATGTGTAGGAGCTTCTTTCATACTGATGGGAATGAATACAAAGCACTTCCCACAATGCCCTGGCATTCCCAGGAACCTACTCCCTGGGACCTAGAAAAGGCCGACACCCTGTACCTGTCTGTTCCAGCCAGCCCGTCCGCCTGCGTCTTTCAGTGTTCATCCCATCTGGGAGATGCCTCGCTGTTGTGGAGCGTGTTCCTAGTGGAGGCCGTGTTCAAAGGATTCCACTTGCGGGCCGCATGTTGAGCCCTGTGTAAACACAAACCGCGCTGCAGGCTGCAAGCAAACAGGCCATGTGGCCCACGTGTTGAGTAGTCCTGTTTTAAAATTTATGTAGGCACAACTATCGTTGGTCTTATTTGACATATCAGACAGGGTGGCGATCTATCAGAGGCAGATTCTAAAACCAAAACAGCCAACTTCCTACCAAACAAGGGAGAAGTTTGTCAATTTTCATAATTTATAAATAAACTGTAGTGTTAAGCCACACAAGTTTTAACTTACACATATTTTGTCTTTCATACTGAACTTTTTGAGCTTTGAGTAAAAACTAGACAAGCATACTCAGGCTCGTAAAAATATCTTTAGGAATGATGGACTAGCTGTGATGTATTTGTTTTTCCCTCTCTCAGATAAAGAAGAGGCAGCAAGATGTGGTGCAATTTCTGGAAGCCAATAGGATAGACTTTGAAGAGGTGGATATCACAATGTCAGAGGAACAAAGACAGTGGATGTATAAAAATATTCCTGAGGAAAGACAGCCTGCACAAGGCAATCCACTGCCACCCCAGATATTTAATGATGATCAGTACTGTGGAGTAAGTAGTTTTGTGATCCAAACTGGTTATGTTTAGTTTGCGTTGCCCATTGAAAAGTCAGCATTTGCCAATGTGCACAACAACTTATGAGAGGGAAAAAAATGTACTAACTTGGCTAATGTTGACAGTTAATTGTGACCATTGATTATTAATTTATTTTCCATTATGATGCTGCACCCTTGTATTTTTCATGGAAATGTGGCTTTGAATATATGCAGAACTCAAATATGCTTTATTCAGAAGGTGACGTGACCTATCATTACAGAGTTTATAATTCCCTAAATGTGTATATGCTACATGTGTGCATGTATCATTCCTCTATTTGAAGTTAGAAATATGTAATACTAGCAGGTGAGGCATGTCATTGACTGGCCAAGGTCATTATGTGTAGATTGCACTTGCAGGAAAGTTCAATAAATGAAATATATAATCAAATGTTTTAATGTGCTTGTAAAAGGGAAGTAAAAGAACAGTTTTAAATTTGTAGGATTTCAACTTCAAACATTCATTTTATTGAATAATTACCAGACATAGTAAGTTTGAATCAAACTCGCAAAGCTTCCATTACTTTTTCTGTAACAAATTTGAATTATTTTGTGTTTTTTTTTTTTTTTTTTGGTAACAGTAAAAATTTTCTTTCCACTAAAATGACAGTTGAATAGATGACTCAATTTTAATTTTGTTAGCAAATGTTTATGAACTTCATCATAGTCACAACTTTTTTTCCAGTGAAAAACAAAAATAATTATTTAAACCTTTCACCCAGTATATTCCAGAGTAAAAAGTAGTGCATTCTGCTAGTTTAAGTGGCAGGATTGTTTATGCAAAATTTGGTATCTGTAGGTAATTACAAAGTATGACTTTATTTTCCACAAATTCTTCAAAATATATAGGAGATGAACCTGGTGTGCTAGGGAAAGCTATTAGTGGTACTTAAATAATTGAATGGCCTGGTACTCAAGACAATGATCTGTAAGTAGTCTTGTTTTTCCTGTGGACCTGGACTATGGTTGGTCTTACGAAGACATGTGACCACACCACCTGGACTGGAGTCCATCTTGAATGTTGGTACTTTTCCATAACGGGGTGGGGGAAAACGAACAATGACTTCCTGTCATAAGGACATTCTATAATAAGGAATGGGAAGCAAAAAATGATGGTTTTCAGCTCGTTTCACAGACTGCTCCCTACCCTGAGAGGATACAGGAAAACACTTGGAAATAAAAACTCTAAGAATGGGGTGGATAGAAGCTGCTGGATCTAGGTCAGAAAAAGATCAGCTCTGGCCTGTGAAGAACTTTACCTGATACAAATCCATTTCTCACCCTAGTTCTTATAACACCTTAGTGCATTAGGCTTAGCTGATGTATTTTTGTTTTATTTTGCTTGCTTGCTTTGATCTATCTGTTATCACTTGCAACCACTTAAATTCTACTCTTTATATTTAATATAGTCATTTTTTATTATTAAACCAGTGTAAATCATTATCTGGGGATAGTACAACATCTATGCATATCCCTTTGGTAAAGGGGGCAAACTTTCATGGAGCGTATGTTTTTATGCAGAGTAAGATGGATTTTTCTGGGGTTTTGAATCCACTTGGCTGTGCATCTTGGTGCTGTGTCCAACTGAACCGTCAGAGATTAACTGCTCTTGGTGTCTGTGTTGCTCTGCTGTGGGCTGTAACCACACCTCTATGTATTGCTGTGGGAGACGAGAGTTTTTGCCTTAGGAGGACGGGGTGGTGCTGTGTGCCAGAGGGCAGGTAGGCAGGGTTGGTGGTATGATCAGCCTATCACGTTACAGTCTCAAGGGGATCTCTGTGACCCATCACATCCACTAAAAGCGTTCCCTACATAAGAGTTCTTGAATGTTAATGTAGAATGACGGATAGACACACTGGTGAAGCACAACTTTGAAGTCTGAGCAGTTAGTGAGATTGTCAGAATGTAGAGTTGCCTTGTTTCACTGCTGTTCAGTGATTATTTTCTTTTTTGTGATGCTAAAATATGGTTTTTGGGAGAGGACTAATTGGCATCCCAACGGTGAACACTGGCACTACTGTCTCAGACTTTCATTTACAGTGGACCTCCCACCCTCCCCCTCCCATCCCCGGCATGGCAAAATGCATTTACCCTCAATTTGAGGTCTGCTTACAGTGCTTAAAGAGATTTAAGTATAAATGAGAGCTCTATTATTTAAAAATTAGTTCCTAGCTTTCTGCAAGAGCCAATAAAATAGAAGACTCACCTTCCTTTGCTGAAAATGGGGAAAGTTTTTATGTAGTATGAGAATTTATCAATCTGACAGTTTGCAAGCTAGACCCATTGCTGTTTAAACTGTCAAAGCTCCATTAATTCCAGTGGAGTTTGACAGTGTACAGTGGCTGAGGAGTGGCCTAATGTTAAAAAAAAAAAAAAGTATTTTTTTTTTTAAACGGAGGTGCATATGGTAGGCTTGGTTCTCCCCAACACTGTTCTAGATCAAGAGTAACTCTGTTGAATATAAAGTCATCAGTGTAAAACTAGTGCAGAAAGAGAAGAGCTGATGCTTATATGTAGATGGGAGCTCTTCGTGTCTTTGTTCTTCATCCTTTGAGTGGTGTGTGTGTGCATTTTGGCTGATTGGGGATCCATAGGTTTGAATGTTGGGTGACATGTCCCCAGGGACAGAGTTGGAGGCCAATGAAGTAGAGTTTGTGGGTTGAGGCAGCAGGAAAGTGAGATGGGTAGCTGTATTTTCATGATTGAAACATCTGGGAGAGAAGGTGCAGTGAGTTAAGGCAAATGGATATATCTGGGAGATGATTCAGCCCTTAATCTAAGAGATGGGGTAATGAAAAGATTTGTTGTAGTTAAGATGGGTGAGCTTCTTTGTGTGGGGAAGAAGGGTAACTGCAGTTGCTCTTCAGTTGTATGATGTGTAGCATAGCCTCTGTTTGCAGTGGGGGTAGTTTAATCCCAGCTGCATGAATTGTATCTAAGTAGTGCAATGTGCAACAGTTCCACTGGAAGGAATAAGCATGTATTTTTTTTCCACATGCTCCTAGGACCTGAGGGGACACTGGTGACCCTCTCACTTATGAATAGTGGAAATTCCACAGATTTACAAAATGTGGTTATTTGAGGCAGGGATGTGAAATATTTGGGGTGGCATCTCTTCTTTTCCTTTTTCTAGTGCACGTAAGCATGTTTTTATAATAATTAGCTAGTTCCAAACACAACTTGTGTTTAAGTAAAAAATATCTGCCATGTGTCATGAAAATCTTGTTACTATATCTGTGCAGTTAATATTTGTTTTGCTTGAGCAGACCTTATTCTGTTTCTGTTGCTAGATTATAGAGTCTGTGAATATCTTTAAAGAGTGTGTTTACTTTGAAAAGAAACTTGGACTATGTCTTCACTGACAGAAAGATGTTTATACTGTAAGATAACTTTTACAACAGCATTGCTAATGTGTATTAAATGTAATGGACACAGCCACTTTAGTTTTACAGGGAGGTAGATGAGGGAAGAAGGGGAAAGGGAGGTATGTAGTGCTACCCTTGCCTAGTAAGCTTGAGGTGTTTTGTCACCACTTGGGATTTTTCGTGAGATAACTGTTGTGTATTTGGTTACTTAGCTGTCAACACACACACACTTCAATAGCAGTGAAGACAAAGCCTTAGTGTAGGATTCAGTATTATTTGTGTCTTGGTCATTTCTAAATCCAGTGTGCTCAGTTGACAAAGCTCTGCTTGTTTTTTACCTACCAGTTCTGCAAATTCAACATGCCATCAAGAAGCTAACCTATTGTTTTTTCCTGACTTGGGCATTATCCACAGTGATTAAAAACTGCTTAGGCCAGATTTACCTGTGCAACCCTCTTATTGGTTTCCTTTGGTTCTCTCTTTTCTTTATGCATTTAGGGGGGGAGGGAAGCTAATGAGATGGAATGTTTTAAAAATTTTTCACTAGGGTTGCACAGTTGGACATGGCCTTGTGGATGTATAAGCCATTGCAGACACAAGTTCACTTTAGTGTTGACTGGGAGGTTGCTTGGCAAGGTTAGCTCTATGCTGATAACTAATAAAAAGTAATACAAGCTCCCTCCCTCCACTATGAACACACCCTGGAACTAGACCTGCTAAGAGCTTTTGAAGTAGTCACTTCTCGGAGTATAATTGCTCTGTAAAAGGAATATTTATTCAGTGTTGACATTAGATATCTGGGAGATTAAAGTGGCTGAAACAGAGCAATGAATGATCTGTTCTGACAACCTGTCTGTCTAGATCTAATGCTGAATGGGACACAAGATGAAAAACAAATCTCACACACCTAATTGTGCAGTACTGTACCACCACCTGCTCGTGCTCTGAAGTGTGAATACTCAGCTCTTATAATTCTGAGCTAGTTTAACTGCAGATGTCCTCATAGAGCTGCCTAGTGCACTCTCAGTCTTTCTGAGACCTCTGCTTCATAATTGCTCAGAAGTGAGCTCCATTGCAATAAAACAATACCTGTAATCTGCAAGTAAAACCCACGTCAACATGAATCATTAACAGTGCAATTTTGATGCCAGTATTTTTTACTGTACTAGCCAATTAGCCTGTCATAAGTCGGGATTTTCAGGTCTTCTCTCTTGAGTGCGTGCGCGCGCGCTCGCGCTCGCTCTCTCTCTCTCTCTCTCTCTCTCTCTCACACTCAAAGGCATCGCTTACTCTAGGGAGTAAGTGTGAACGTTATTATATTTCTAGAAATCTCCTCAGCCCTTCAGCTTTTCATACTCAGATGCTCACTCTCTCTTTTACTTACACACTAACATACACACCCCACTTTGTCTTTTCCCTTAGTCTGTGGGTGTGATTGTGCCTGTAGGAGCCACTGTCAAGGACACGAGTGACCGTCTGTTCTCTGGCTACAGTTGGCGGGAAATCTGGGGGCAATCTCGGTGTTCTGAGACTGGGTAGCTCATTACCGCCTCCCATCTCCCTGCAGCCACATTTCCATACAGGATACTCA